CTCTCCTACTACCCCAGGACCGAGCTGGACAGCCAGCTCACGGCCACTTTCGGCCACTTTCTTGCAGTACTGGACCAGCGGGCGCACCCAGACCGAGATCAACGATGCCGTCGCCGGCTTGCTGGACCAGACCGCGGGGGACGCCCGCTACCTCGTGCGCGCTCCCGGCGCGGAGTCGGGGCAGATTTTCAACTTGGTGCAGGAGCAGTTCACGCCCCGGATTGTGCGCAACCTGCTGCTGGAGGCGCCCCTGGTGGGCGACGCGATCCTGGGCAACCAGTCCACCCTGCGCATCCGAAGCGACTCCTGGTCCAAGGCCGAGGCGGACTCCCGCTTCCTGCGCACAAACGACCTCGGGCCCCTGGACGCCCGCTACTTCGTCACCACTCCCGGCGCCGAGGGAGGCGGCATCTTCAACTTGGCGCAGACCCAGTTCACTCCCAACATCATCCGCAATTTGCTGTGCCAAACGCCCCTCTCCGCCCAGCCCATCCTGGGCAACGGCAGCACCCTCCAGATCAGCTGCGACTGCTGGTCCAAAGGACAGAGCGACACCCGCTATCCCCTCATAGCCAACTTCAATTCGTTGGGCCAAAGGGTCACGGACCTGGAGAACAGCCCGGGCGTGGACCCCGCGGCGGACCTCACCGTCAACAGCCTCACGGCAACGGCCTTCGTGCAGACACCCCTGCTGCAGAGCGCCGCTGCAGACCTGCAAATCCGGAACGCCACCACCACGATCCGCGCCGAAGACGGCACATTGGTGGCCTCCTTCGCCGCCGGCAGCATCGGCCTGGAGCAAGACATCACCGTGCGCTCGGACCGCACTTTGAATGCAACCACGGCGGACGTCGCCCAGTTCTTCGTGGGCAGCACCGCTGCCACGGGGACCTTCACGAGCAGCAGCTCGGTGTCCGCTACGCAGGAGATCACGAGCGACCTGAGGCTTCAGGCACCCCTGGTGCGCGCCGATCCGGCGGCCCCCTGGCTCACTGTCCAAGGGGGCACCAACGGGATTCTGATGGACGACACCGTGCGGATCAACGGCGTCTTGGGGCCAGAGGCCAGCCTGCCCTTCCTGAGCCTCTCGGGCGGCAGCAGCGGAGTGCAGGTGCTCAGCCCGCTGCTGGAGCAGATCGCCGTGGGACCCACGGACGGTACTGTGGGCATGGTCATCCGCAACGCAGCGCCGACGGGCGATGCCCAGCTGCTCCCCTGCTCCTCGACGCCAACGGCCAGAACGGCTTGGCGGTGCTCAAGGCACAGGCGGGTGGGGGCGTGCAGCTCAACACCTTGTTTCAGTTCATGAGTTTCAACACAGCCAACGGCCTGGCGAATTTGGCCATCGAACCCAACATCGGGGGCAGCAACGACGGGGAGGTGATCTTCGGCTACGGCTTTGTGAACCTGAGCGACCGGGCGCTCAAGGAGAACGTCCGGGCCATCCCGGAGGAGGAGCTGCAGCAGACCTTCGACGAGGTGGAGCCGCAGCTCTATGACCGCATCGACGGTGGCAAAGAGCAAATCGGCTTCGTGGCCCAGGACGTGCAGGCCAGCGGCAAGCTGGGCGCGACCATGTGCAAGACGAAGAATTTGGACGGCCGGGAGCTGATGGCCCTCGACTACCAGAAGCTCTCGGTGGTGCTCTGGGGCGTGGTGAAGAAGCTCCAGAGGCGGGTGGAGAAGCTCGAGAAAAAGAAGGGGCGCAAGGGCGACTCGGACTAACACGACAAAAGCGCAGCCGAGGCACCTTCCACTTGTAGAGAAGGCGGTGCGGTCGTAAGCATCGCCTGAGAAACTGATCACGGCATCCGGATCGCCCACAGCCTTGCGGTGCCCGGTGCCGAGCGCAGGTGCGCATCAGCGAGTGGACCGCGGAGAGATGTGACCTGGCAACGGGGCGAGCGCAACAAGCAGGAAGCCCACCCAGCCCCTGCCGCGCCTTGCCACGCCGTTTCGCCGCCTGAAGGAAAGCAGCGCAGGCACCTCAGTAAAGTGGCGGAGGAGGAGGCCATCGGGCTGCTGCAACAGTTGGCCCGCGATTTCAACGTTAGAGACCCTAGGAAGCTCTACCAGATCGCCCGGCGGGAGTTTCCGGGGCGGGCGGACCTCACGAACGCGCGGGCCCAGGCGGCCCTGCGCAGCGACGTGGCCAGGCAGATCCTGGCGCCCAAGCCCAGGAGCCTGGGCAAATCGGCGGCGGAGGGGCCCAACGACCGGTTGCAGGCGGACCTGATCGACTTCAGCCAGAACACCCGGAGCCGCAACAAGTTCGGCCTGGTGGTCACGGACGTGTTCACGAGGGAGGTGGCCACGAAGGCCCGACAAGCGGGCGGAGACGGTCACGAGGGCCGCGGCGGAGCTCATCCCCGACCTGGTCCAGGAGGAGTCGAATTACGTCGTCACCAGCCCTGCCGGGCTTGCCCGGCGGCGCTGTTTAGAGTAAACGTTTTGGGTGGGCGGGGCGGGGTGTCTCTGTGGGTAGGAGGAGTTCCCTCGACTGGACCAACTCGAAGATCTCCGCAGTTTCAAAGAGAAAAGTTTTATTGAGCAGTTTTGAGTTTCTATTTTATTTACGTATCGTGCGCTTTTCAGAATGGAGCCAGAAGCTGAGTGCGCGCACAAGCTCATTGCTTATCATGGACGCAGAGCTCAGGCTCAGGAGCAGGGAAAATTTTGATTGTATGGGGCTAGCATTCACAAGCATCGTTGTGACGCATGACTGGACAGTTTAGCTTCACGGTAGCTCCATACTTTAGGACTACGAAAGCGGTAGAAGGGTGGCCCTGCGGCCCATGGTCGGCCATGAGTGGCACAGGACTCGGATGGCCCGCTTTGGTGCCACCATACCGCAACCGCCTTGAAGAGTGGTTTAGCACGCCTGAGAAATTGCATGCCTCATTCGACACGAGGGAAGAGCTTGTATCATTGCTTAGGGCTTGCGATAACACACTTCTTGAAAGTAGCCTGCAGTTGATTGCGGATGCACTTCTTGAATGGCATGCAGACAATGCTCGCACAGTTGCGAGTGGGCGCAGGGAATCAAGGAGGCGCTTGACAGAGTGCTTGCCCAGTGTCCCGGGAACTGGCCTTAGCTTGCATGAGCATTACAATCAGATTGCACTTCAGAGTCCACTTGCGTTGCTTCCGGTTCTTCGCAAGCGGAAGTTAGCTACTGATAGGGTCGTAGATCGCGGTGCCAGGGCCACTGAGGAGATACGGCTTCGGCAGGAGTATGCATTGCGTCTTGCGGCCATCATGCAGGAGGCGCAACTGCCGGTGTGCAAGGTGCTTGCAGGGGTCAGCAATGCCGAGGAAGCCTGGCCACGGCTGTTCGGGACCCGTCGATCCAAGACATTGAGAAATCGCTTTAGAGCTTGGGACAAGTTTCGGGAATGGTTGCTTTACAGCCGTGGCAGGAGCTATCCGGAAGGGGTAGCTGATGTGCTAGATTATGCCAATGAACGATTCCAGGAAGGATGTGGAAAGACAGTTCTCGAAAGCCTGCAAGCCTCTCTCAGTGTAATTGAAGGTGTAGGGCGCGTGCCGTCTACGCAGCAGATATCTCAGGATCCCACATGGCAGGCGCAGCTCAAAAGTTACACAGCCGATTTGGTTTCGGCGGCACCGCCGGAGCAGCCAGCCAGCATGCTCACTGTTGCTATCGTTCTTGCATGTGAGATCTTCGTTTGCACGCCCGGGGAGCCTAGTTACTTGAGAGCATTGGGCTTTGTCTGCTTATTGATGGTTTGGGGATCGCTTCGGGCTGATGATGTTCAGGGGCTCTTGCCGCAGACCATGCTTCTGGACGAGCGAGGGCTTAGCATTGATCTCGCGCGGTCCAAGACTACAGGGCCCGACAAAAGGACCCACACCGTCAAGGTCTTCGTGGAACGGAGTATCTCTCTGACAGGGCATGATTGGCTGAAGGTCGGATATGCACTTTGGAAGGATTTCGATTTTGAGAGGGAGTATCTGGTTTTGAAGGCCAATGAAGGTTTCACGGAACCCCTGGAGAAGTCGGTGCCTTCCTCCACGGTGGCCCTTTACTTCCGCAAAGTTCTCAGTGAGTTGAAAACGCCCAAGCGTGAGGGGCGCACATGGAAGGCCAATGATCAGCGTCCGCTGCTCCCGGGATACACTTCCAGTCATTTTACGGGACATTCTGCGAGGAACTTCCTTAGCTCGGTCGGAGCGGCCATCGATGTCGACCCCAGGGAGCTTGATTATCTGGGTCGCTGGAAGGTAGGTGGCGAAGGTTCTGCAACCTACATTCGCACTTCTAGGCAGGTTGTGCATCGTCTCCAGAGTCACATTGCTTGTTCCCTTGTCACCGGACAGCCAAAGCACTACATCGAGGTGGATTCCATCAAGGCTTTGACGGATTATGCAGCTAAGGCGGGGGAGAGCGAATCTCAGGTTCGTCGCCGTCACACCCTTCTCGAGGGATCCAAAGGCTTGGGCGGGTCGTGGCCAACTCTGGCATTGGAAGTGGGTGTTGCGGCACCACCTTCTCCAGTCGAGCAGGTTTCGATGCCAGGCAGCCGGGGGGATTACTTCATCGTTACCTCTCGCACCACAGGCCTGAGGCGTCTGCACATGTTGGGCTGCTATGTCAAGCCTGAGAATTGTTATGATGTGAAATTTGTCAGTCATGTCGGCGCGGAGGACGTCGATAACATTTGCAAAGATTGCAAAGCAAGAATGAAGGCTCAGGCCGGAGAGGAGGAATCAGACCCCTCCAGCAGTGACAGTGGGAGCGAGTCGATGTGAAGGCAAAAGATGCTTTCGACTGCTGTGGATAGGCTGTGCCCTGCAAGTCCTAGCCAGAAGTTGGCATGAGTTGCTTATGCAAGGGCGCCTTGAAGTAGATCCACGATAACAGTCCATGCTGACCTTTCCCAGGGCATCTTGAAGTTGTTTCGCGATAACAGTTCATGCTGATGAAGTGCACGTGCTGGCGCTGTTCAAGCAGGAGGAAGTCTCACTCGGCGCAGGCCGTGAGGTGCCGGCGGATTCCGCATCCTGTCACAGGCCTCAGGGCGACGGGTGGACACATCGCAGTGCAGCTAAAGGCCTCAGGGCGGCTAGCAATCCAAGTCCTACAGGGCCACAGGCCGGGGCGCGGCCTTCGCATCAGGAGTAGCGGGAGTTAGTTACTGTTGTCGCAATGGCCGCCACAGATGCCGAGAAGCGCGAGCTCATAACCAAAGCAGATAGCGATTTGCAGTTTGTGCTCGGAGAAGCTGGCTTGTCTCTGGATGCCCAGTATCGCATTGTGCAACGACACACAACACTTAGGCGATTCCAGGCAATCGCCGATTCCCGGCCGGAAGCTCGGGCTGCTGGGAAGGCGGACTTTGGTCTTGATGATGGGGCTGCTGATGGGCGACAACAAATCGCGGGGGTCGTCGCTGCATGGGAACTTGCACGCGACGTAATCAGCAAAGAGACGGAAACACGAGCAGAGGCGAAAGTGTTAGGCCAGCCGCGAATCTTGCAAGTCACAGAGAGGCAAGCAATGCTCAAGGCGGTAGCGGCCGTTCACGGGCAGCTGGGAGAGTCGGAGACTCCATCGTCTGAGTACCTCGCTCTCAAGTGCGAGGAGTGCGAAGCCAATGAGCCTCAGGCTTCAACCTTGGATGCCATAACTTCGAAGAAGAACACGCTCACCACGAGCATCCAGTCCAGCCTTGACGCTTCGGGGCGAATTCATATTACTCAGCACAAATCCAAGAGCGAGCTCCCGACTACTACAGAAGCTTATCGCAAGGTCCTTCGCGTGGAAGCTTTCACGTGGCTATGCATGGCATCCCGCTTTAAATCCAAGCAATGGCTTCAGGATCTTAAGCTGTCTGACTTCGACCACTTCGTGAACTACATCCTTGGCGAAAAGGTCGCTCAGCTCTCAGTGCCTACGTCTCATCAGCCAGCCGATGTGCCTTCACTTTCGCCACCTTGGGAAGTAGTCTTGGCCTATGAGCACCGGTTGCGCAAGGAGGCTTTCCGTCTGGTCAATGATCAGGGTTATACTCTGGCAGGCGCTCTGGCTTCAGTCATTTCTTCAGCGGAGCTTAAGGAGACCTACTTCACGACGCCGCTCGCCTTGTCCATCATTGAGCGACCACGCAAGTGGCACAAAGGCAAGGGCAAGGGCAAGGATGGCAAGGACGGAGGCAAGACAGGCAAGGGCGGCAAGGGCAAAGACTCCAAGGGGGGCAAGAACGGCAAAAGCCCCTCGGACCCGGCTCTTAAGGGCCTTCAGTTGGTTTGGCGCACGCCGGAGGGCCGCGACATTTGCTTTGCATTCAACTCGCAGGGCTGCACCAATCCTTCATGCGAACGCTTGCATGTGTGCCGGGTCAAGGGCTGTTATCAGCCCCACTCAGCGACCGAGCATAAGCTTAAGACCAGCAAGCCCAAGGAGTGACTATCGCATGATTCGGTTTCTACCATTGAGACATCAGATCACATCGCCTACCAGCCTCAGCTGTACAGTCCGAGCGGGCTTCGTGTGCTCTACATTTTCGCGGGGCCCCATCGCAAAGGTGATGTGGGCTCTTACCTTCAGTCATTGGGCAATGTCACTAATCTTCTTCAGTTCGATCTTCAGCGCTCCACGGAGCATGACTTGACTAAGGAAGGCTTGTGGCAGCACATCTTTCAATTGCTTGGCGAAGGGGATTGGATCCTCATTGCCTCTCCTCCTTGTGAGACATTTTCCAGAGTCCGGCATCGCCACCCCGGGCCAAAGCCACTACGTTCAGCATTTTATCCTAGAGGTTTTCCATGGTTAAGCAATTTGCACGCGCAGCAGGTGGAGCAGGCTAATTATTTTCTTGATCAGACCGTGACGGCATGTCAACTTGCATGGCAGTATGTCCTGGAGCACCCGGAGGATCTCGGCGCAACGCCGGATCAAGAGTTACCGGCTTCCATCTGGCAGCTACCAGCTCTGCGTGAGCTCCAGGTTTCCACTCAGGCCATCACTTTTGCTTTCTTTCAATGCAGCTTTGAGGCTCCCACTTCCAAACCCACACGCCTTCTCACTAATCTACGGGCCTTTGTCGAGCAGCCTCCGCCTTTTGCTTCCTGGCCACGCTTCGACTCCAGTGATCGCTACGTGGGGCCGTTGCCGCCACGCTGCCCGCACGGGAAACATGCCAAAGTACTTGCAGGCCGAGAAGGCTCCCGCTGGGCGACCGAGTCATCAGCAGCCTATCCTCCTCTGTTGTGTGAGTGGCTTGCGCATGCTGTGCTTGCTTCCGCTTCGCAGGGGGGACTTGGGTCAGCGCCGCACAGCTCCGTTCCAGGTGAGGCAGGTCCAATGCAGGAATCCCACGAGGCGACGCAGGAGGTGCATCAGGATTTATGTGAAGTGCCGCAGGGGCTGCACCAGGTGGTTTCCGATAGGGTAGAGGCGGTTACTGATAGGGTAGAGGCGGTTGGCTTGATCGAGTCGGAAGCACCTCCTTCCACTTTGTTGCCGTCGCCAGACTCTTCGGGGCCAGACTCTTCGGGGCAACCGCAGCCGAAGGCAGCACCTAGGGGGGTTAAGAAACAAGTTGAAGCTGAGGAGTTCGCACGCATCATTTCTTCATCGAGAGCCCCGACTCGGGCCGAGGTCCATGCTCTCTTCAAACTGCTGCCGCATGAGACTCCGCCTAGGTCGGCGGTGTCCTCTAATTGGGTTCCTAGCAGCTTTTCGACAGGCTTGTACCGGAAGGGTGGAGGCCTGATCGGGCTCAGGTCCGCGTGCAAAGGCTTCCCGGCTTCCACAGAAGCTTTGGCATCCTTCGTGCGTAGCAACATGCCCGGGCACCCCTTTACCACGATTAGCCTTTACCTTAACACTGGCACCAAGCCCCACAAAGACTCCAGGAACGCACCTTTGCCCAATGGGATAATAGGGGTTACTGACTTCGTAGGAGGAGAGATCTGGGTCGAGGCCCAGGATGGGGAGTCTGTTCAGATTGTTGACGGTAAGCGCTTAAGTGGTCACCTTCTTCCGATCAGTGAGACACCCACCTACATACATGCCTACCGCGATCTTCACCTCACAATGCCCTGGAAAGGTAAGAGATTAGTCATCATAGCTTTCAGTGTATCGGAGCATACTCAGGCATGCGATGAGGATCTCGCGTTTCTTCGCGGGCATGGTTTCGTCCTTCCGGGCGAAGAGCACAGTGTTGATCTTGAGGCGGTCCAGTCAGATGATTCGGAGGTGCTGGAGGGGGGGTGAGGTCGAAAGGCCGGAGCCCTTCAAGCATCAGGAGTGCCACAACATCGGGCTGCCTTTGAACCTCGAGTGGGATGGCAAAACTCAGCCGATCACGGATGGCTTTGGACTCTGCTCACCCACTAGATGGCCTCCGGAAGCCAGGGGGGGCCTGCTGCCCAAGCAGGCTTTGGAGTTCGCCACTGCCATGCATCAAGTGCTTCGAGACTTTGTAGCGGACGTTGTGCCTGATATCAAGCGCACGGCGATGGAGCTTGCGCTAGGCCGCCTTAAGGAATCGCCTTTCACTCCCGAGATGTTAGGGGTCCTTAGGAAGGATTGGTTTAGTTGCATAGAGGTTGCTTCGGGAGGCAAGTGTACGGATCTTGATGTGGTGCCGAGTGGCCAGCCATTCTTCTTGCATGCTGTGTCTGCGACGGCTCGGCTGTTGCAGGACCCAGATTGGAAAGCCGTTTCTTGCCAGGAGGACTCCTATGTCAGCGGGGTCGCGATCGGTTATGACTGCCCCGCGCCTCACTTGCCACAGGTGTACGAGTACAAACACAAGTCCCGCAAGCTCGATGAATCGGATGCCGAGTGGCATCGCGAGAACTATTCGTCGGCAAACGAAACATCGGATCAGCTTGAGAAGAAGTTTGCAGAGGAAGAGGCTCTTGGGCGCATGGCGCCTTCCACGTTGCCGGTTCTTGAGCAAAAGTACGGGCGGGATAGGGTTAGGATAGCTTCTTTAGGTTCCTTGATTAAACCAGACGGTTCCGCTCGGCCATTACACGATGGCACCCACGGTGTGCATGTCAACAATGGTATTAGGCTACTTAATCAGCAATCCAATCCCGGACCCCAGGAGGTAGTTCACCTTGTGCGCAGCGCAAAGCAAAGTCAGGAGGCCACCTTTTGCCTCACCGGCGATGTGACGGCGGCTCACAGGTTGTTCCTTGTCAGAGAGGCCGACTGGCCTTTGTTGTGCTGTAAGGTGCGCAACGACACGCCGGTCGTTTGGTACAACAAAGTAGGAACGTTCGGTATATCATCATCCGCCTTCCTTTGGTCCAGATTGTTTGGGATCATCGGCCGCTGCACCGCGCGCTTTCTTTTGACATTGTGGTTCTATCACCTCGTCTTCGTAGATGATGTTCACGCCAACTTCGCAGGAAGGGAGAAATTTCATCATTTGCTCATGTGGCTAGCATGCTTCGAGATGTTTGGCACACCTTTCGCATACAAGAAGTTCCGCGGTGGGCTCACTTCGGCTTTTGTGGGTTACGAACTTTCTTATCCAGACCAGAGGGTCGGAATTTCCGAATCGCGGGGCCAGTGGCTCTTGAAATGGATCGCTGAGGCTCGGTCCTCGAAGTTTGTTGTTTCGGTTCGCAGGTTTGCTGAGTTCTTAGGGAGGCTGGGCTTCGTCGCTCGGCTTTTGGTTTGGCTTAAGGCACACCTTGCACCGCTTTACAGCTGGAGGGCAGCGGTGAACGACAGTTCAGTCGCTCGGATGCCCGACACCGTCATCCTTACTCTTGAATATCTTGACCTCACGTTCAGGGACATGACGTTCAAGGTCGCCGCAGCAAGATCGGTCAAAAGAGAAGGCGTGGCCTTCCGCACTGATGCAAAGTGCGCGGACGGGTACGTGGTCCTTGGGGGTTGGGATTGCGCAGGCACAACTCAGGAGTCCAGATGGTTCTCACTTCGACTTACTCCCTCAGAGGCCCCTTACCTCTTCGACTCAGAAGGTCACAGTCAGTGGGCTTCGGCATCGGCGGAATTGCTGGCCACGCTGGCTGCACTGCACATCTTCGGTCACCTTGAAGCCGGGCCAACTAGGCGTTTGATGAAGGTTGAGGTTCTAGCTCAGACGGATAATAAGTCTAACGAGGGCTTGACTCGCAAGGGTTCTACAACGCGCTGGCCCTTGCTCATGGTTAACATGCAGCTCACCCATGTTCTCATGAAGGCCGGCTTGCGGTTGAACTTGGGATGGCGTCCACGGGACGAAAATCAGGAGGCCGATGATTTAACCAACGAAATCTTCGACCGTTTCTCTGAGGAGTTGCGGGTCCCAGTGCAGTACTCCGAATTGCCGCTTTCCTTTCTTCACACTCTTTACGAAGCCAGGCGTGCACAGCTGAGCAGCCGTGAAGTGGATTCCATCCGCGACACGGTCGGTGGCAGGCCACGCTTCAGAGGCAAGAGAAAGAGAGAGAAGTCTCCTTGGTGACGTGCCGGCCTGCGGAAGGGGGGGCACAGGCACACAGGTGCGCCTTCCCGACACGTCAAAGACCTGTTCAAGAATTAGATGCCTGCGTGAGCCTGCCGCCATCCGTTTGAAAACATCCTGCGTGCTCCTTTCGGCAGTTGCTATCTCTTTAGATATTCATCATTAAGTGGCGAGGATACATTTGATTGGAGTCCCAAGAGGCGAAAGCAAGATATGAGAATTTATACCCCATATATTCTCTGGGGATACCGTCGGTGCATTTATACCTTCGCCGATATTTCCGTTTGCCCAATATATCTTCTGGGCAATAAAATTTCTGATGAGGGAACTGAGTTTTGTAAACTTCGCTCACAGCGCCCTTCCTAAACACAACGGTTACGGAGAACAGCTCATTGTCTCGCCAGCGCATGCTTCCGGGCTGCTTGCCGCAGCGCACATGCATGCCAGGCTACATGGCTCGGAAATGCAGGCAAACCTTTCGTGACAACATGGGATTGCCACCTGGGCGATGTGATCAGGGAATTCCATCGACGATGGCACACCCACGACTATACCCACCGCTCACGGAAGCGACCGCCCTATTAGTTGCTGTCTTTGATGAGAGCTCAGGCCGGCACCGGGCGCAGCTACATTTACGGGGCGCGGACAGGTATCAGGCGGGGAGGCGTGGGGAGCCGCGCGTGTCCCGTCGCTTCTTCCCAATCTTCGATACCGAGGACTCTGGTCACCCTGGATATGGACACATCCTGTTCTCTCTCTCTCTCTCTCTCTCTCTCTCTCTCTCTCTCTCTCTCTCTCTCTCTCTCTCTCTCTCTCTCTCTCTCTCTCTCTCTCTCTCTCTCTCTACAGGCTTCAGGAGTGCCAAGGACACGGAGCCGAGCCCTGGCGGGCGCCTCTATGCAAAGCGAGATCGGGAACCGAGTTACTAAAATGACAGTGGACAGCCATGACGTGAAGTGGTCGGTTGTCTCGCTTCCTGGCTGCTTCTATCTGGCGCAAATTGCCACAGATCACACTACGCAGGAGTTTATGCGCTTTCTTCGTCAGCGTCTGAGTGTACTTTGGCGCTGCTGCTGATGTGACCTCCTTCCGCTTCGGAGATGATAGCACACTACTTGAAGGATCGTGTTGTTTAGTATCCGAATGGGCGGGTTGCGGTGGTTAGTAAAGCCTGCAAGTGAACTTATAATCGGGCTATCTTGACTTATAAGTGTACCATGTTGGGTAAGTGTGTTTTTGAACTTAGTAAGTGAGCGAGGGTGGTTATAAGTAGTTGTTTGAGTTAATAAGCACTTAGCACATTTATAAGTGACTTGGGACAAATGCTGTAAGTGGAAGATAAGTACTTGGACACGGTTATATCGGTTATCTAAGTCATTTATAAGTACTTATATAAGTACCCTAACTTCATCGGGGCAAAGCATTTGCATGTCGGTGCTGGTGGTTGCCGACGTCGACGGCATCGAAAGGTGCTTCCGCCCCCCGCTTCTTTGCAAGTGATGAGTTCAGTGTTCCGAGCATGTTTGGCCATGTCGAGACTCCCATCATGAGAGACATGCAGTGATGCTTGCAGCTTTCATGCAGTGTTTGCATGTATGTGTATACACTTGCAGTCTTTGCATCACGTGTACATGCAGTGGTATACGATGCCCTGCATGTGTATATAGGAAGTCGTCGTGCAGGGCAATTTGCTCGCCGGCAGGCTGTCACGACATTCTTGCATGACTTTCAAACTGACAGTTCATATCTGCATGCAGCATCTTGGCTGTGACAGCACTCACTGCACACACACACCGACCGCTTCCGAAACACAGCATGGCTTTGTCTGCTGATCTCGTTGCGGACATCTCGTTCAAGCTGCAACAGGTGCAAGAAGGCGATCGACTTGTAAAGACGGTGCATGCGGCTATCAGCCAGCTTGAGTCGCAGGGCCACGTCTACACGATGCAGCTTCAACCGACCATGGTCGGGATCAGTTCCCAGAACCGCGACGGGAGCGGGATTAATCCCGTAGATGTCCACGATCTTCTGGGCGACATAGTTCAAGCCGGCTGGCTTGATGCCAGGGTCCAGGCCATCGCCCATGAGCCAACTGGGCAAGAGGACATCGATTGGAATGTCCGTCTCTTCCAAAGCATGCATGATCGCTGTGGGCCCCTGGAGCCCACGATGATCAAAGCACTCTCCCTGGCAGGGTCACACACAAACTCGGTCTTGCGGTGCTTCCACTATGAGGTCATGCATGAAGGAGACGAGACCGTGTGTCATGATGGAAGACTCAGCATGGAGCTGCTTCGGAAGCACGATCCGGACTTCGCGAGGGCGGTTCGCGAAGGAGTCGTTTGGAAGATCTTGTCAAAGCACGTCGCTGCCCAGCTGCCGCAGCTGTTGGGACTTGTCCAAAGGATGGGAAACGCCACACTTCACCGTGGCGAACACGAGCTCCAACTGATGAGACGGCTGCATCAGACTTGGGTCCAGATGAGCTCTCAGGGTTCTGTGGACGTCCTGGCACTGAAGAGCAAAGTCACCACGGGGAAGTCCGTGCATGGCAAGTCCATGCCGCATCTTTACAGTTTCGTGTTGAAGACTGCGGGTGGCACAGATCCGTTCTTGCTCAGCACACGTTCATTGGGACCTGGTTTCTGGGAGAAGGTCAGTGCCGATGTCAAAGGTTCCAACCAATTCCCACGGTTCCGGCATGCCATGGCCACTTGATTCATACAAGCATGCATGCATGTACAGGTCACATATGGGATTGCAAGGCCGAGGTTGCTAGTTGTTGTTGTTGTTGCTGCTGCTCTTAGGTGAAGCTTGCATACTGCAAAGAAGCTGTGGGGTCTGCCGAGTGCAAGAAGATGTTGCACAAGGATTCAACGGCCTCTGTCAAGGAGGCAGACACCATCATGAGCACGTGGCGAAAGCTTGTGACGGCCCTGCCGGATGGTGCAGAGCTTCTCATGAAACCCGAAGTGCAGACCTGCTTGTCCTATGGGGACATGTCCTTGGCTGCCTTCACCCTGAATGTGATGTTGCCCGGTGAAGACTTGAAGAAATATAAGACAAGCCAATCCCTCGCCCATGACCTCGTCCTGATTTTGGAAGGCATCCTCAAAACAGACCTGAATGGGCCCTGGGCGGCACACAAGGTCGCAGATTCGGGTGAGGCATCGGGTTCCAAACAGGTGGGAGCACCCATGGCCATCATGAGGGAGCTGAGCTCCGACGGCTCGGTGAAGGATTCAGCGGTGATGATGGCCGAGTCCGGCTTTTCAGTCGGCCAATATGTCCGTCGCAAGGCGGATCAGGAAACTGGCCAGGTGACGGCGATCGAGCTTGGCCGTGTCAAGCTGAAGCAGCCCTCGGGGTCCGTAGTGCGGGTGTCGATCGACAGCTTTCTCGCAGGCCACTGGCAGGTCTACACACCCAAGCCGGAACCCCAGACGGTGGATGACTTGTCAGTGTATTCGCCTTTGAACTTCCCCGAATACGAGCGACAGATGCTGTTGGCATGCTTGTACATGGACATGCATGAGCTCATGCAAAAGCACGACACGAATCCCATGCTGCAGAAGCTCAGGGTCACTTTGAAGCCTCGTAAGTCAGTCCAAGCCACGGCATTCATCCCGAAAAACAAGCTCATCATGGTCCCCATGGGTTTGACGATCAAGCACGGTCAGAAGAAGCCCGAGGATGCGATTTTCGATATCATCACCCCCATGAGTGACTACTTCTTCTGGATTGTTTCGTTCATTCAGATTCCGAAAGCCGAAGGGGATGCTGGCTTCATCAATCCTGCATTCCTTGTGCAGCCGCTTCCCGTGAGTGACACTTGGAATTGCGAGGTTTCGCATGTCAAGTCCAATCGAGACAAGAAGGTTCAACTCCCCATCCTCAAGAACACCCTGGACCTGCAGCAGGACGATGTGCTGTATATGCCAAAGGCCGAGAAGACTGTGCACGTCGAGGCCTTGCAGGTTGACACCCCGCCAAGGAAGCGAATCTGCTCCAAGAAGCCGGGAGACTCCTGAAGCCCGAGTGTGATGCATCCCATGCCATTTTGTGTGCAGCTGTCCGAGAGAGCTCACGGGCACTTCCTCCATTGCTTTGAACCATGCAGCAGCTGTGCTGCCCACCACGATCCATGCACATGAAAGAACATGCACTTGCAGCCTGCAGGAAAGATGCCCGAGCCCGTGTATGTGTGCAAGTGTGCATGACTGCGAGCACGATTGCATGTAAAAGCGCCAAAAGCCATGGCATTCATGATTGCATGTCATTCACGAAGTTTTGCAGCTCCAGCTTCATCCGTGATTTCGTAGCTTTGCCAGCATGGAGCAGGAAGATGAGGAGATGACCGCACCCACGGTGGTGACAAAACAGATCGTCACATACGGGTCAGGGCTCACTTGGATCCCGGAACAAAAGACGGCCGAGGGAGTCACATGGTTCAAAGTGAGCAAGTGGGATCGAGGATTGTTTCGGTTCGTGTACGGCAAGGGCTTGGATCTGAGGAAGAATACGGACAATCAAAACTTGTCACTCGACACACCTTTCTTCGAGAACATGTTGGCCCGTCGCCAAGAAGCATTCAACGAGGCTATCTCCGAAAGACTCAAGGATGAAGAGAATGACGAAGCCCCACAGCCGGAGAAGGCCCAGAAGAAGACCAAGAAAACCAAGGAGTTCAAAGCTACACAGAAGCATGACATTTATGCACCCCACAGCATTCAGATTGACTTGCCCGGCGAGGCCGAGGATGGCAACAAGGTCCAATGCCGAACTTTGTTCGAGGGGGTGGGCACTCGGACTATGTGGCTGGAACTGAAGGACGATGTCGTGAAGCACATCCAGACCAGCTTCAAGCATTCTGAGGCCAAGCCACGAAAGACGATCAAGCCTAAAAGGGCCAAGGCCTGCAGGAAGTAGGTTTTCGTCAGCAGGGCAATTTGCTCGTTGGCAGGAACATATATACATGTGTGCACATGTCGCATAATTTTCTCTCGCTGGCATGCAGGAACTTCATGTGCCAAATATGCCGGTTGCTGCAAGTGCTTGCTTCCTCGTGGTGCTCGGTTCTGTGCACGTGCATCGGTCTCCTCATGTATCGGTTGACATGTGGCTCAGGCTTCGAGCTTTTTTCGTGTGCAGCTGTAGCCTGTAGACCATGTCGTGCACGGGTTATAGCTGCATGATCAGCCCTGATGTGGCGGAGGCCTGGTTCCTGTCTCCCATGCAACCAAAAAGATGTGTGTGCTGGTCAGGACTCACCGCAATGGTGGGCCTTTGATCGGTGCGGGCTCCTGGAGGTGTTGCTGCCGAACGAGGACAGTTCCCTTATAAGGCCCTTTAAACCAAAAAGGGCATCCTTTTTTATTCCATGCAGGACGCCACATGGAGCAACAGCTCAGCCATCCTCGGTTGGCACAAGCAGAAGAAGAAGTGGAGAATCCTCGACATGTTAGGCCGGGGATGTGCCATTGTCCCACATTTTCATCGTCTCTCCTCTGCAGGCAACCTCCTCTACAAGCACGAGAGCCGCGAGGAGACACCCCCGACCGAAGGCATGCAGGTTTTTACAGGGTTGTGTTTTCAAGGGTTTCGGGTTTTGTAGAGTTTAGGGTATATACGGGTTCATGGTTTCTGGTTTATATAATATATGATGTTATATATTATATCTATATAATGCAGGTGTGCAGCATGTGTACACAGAAAAGGCGCTCAGGTTCCTAACTTTTACATATTTGTGTTTATACATATATACATACATACATGCATACATACATACATTTATACATACACACACATCTGTATACACATGTATGTGTGTATGTATGTATGTATGTATGTATGTATGTATGTATGTATGTATGTATGTATGTGCGAGACATATATATATATATATATATGTATATATATGCCCATACATATATATATATATATATATACACATACATATATGTTATAAACTATATATACACACTATACAGCACAACCACAAAGGCCAAAAGCCTTCAATTTAACATGAAAACCCCCAACCCCGAGCCTATTTGTGCTATCTCAGTCTCGGCAGGTTGGCTGTGCCAGGATTGGGAGGGCACGTGGTGCCCTGCTGAGCTTGTGCTCCAGGCCCGGGCCTATAGAGCAAAGAAGTGAACTTCATGTGTGTTTCGATCTGGTGTGAGGAGATCGATGCCCAGGACTACGAGGTGATGAAGAAGGAAAAGGAGCCGGATCGGCCAAAGGTACTGCACTCAGTGCCCAGGTTGAACGATGTGAGTTGTAGTTGCACTTTCAAAACAACCAGGAAGAAGACGACGAGATGGAGGAGGTTACATGTGAGGAGCCCGACAAGAAGGACAGTGTCGCTGTGTTCGTGGTCTTGCATTTAAAATAACGACTTCGGGAGGAATGGATGCCTCCTAAGCCGAAGAAGCGGCCGAGGGAGATCCCGGTCAAGGCGAAGATTGCATGTGTGTTGCGGTGTACAAAACATGTTGTGTATGGCAGGCTTGCAAGAAGCCGGCCGAGCCCAAGGAGCCGCCGCCGAAATCCAAGAAGGCCTCTTGTTTTCTTGAGATGGGCGGGGGGGGGCCTTGTCACTGCCTGCTTGCCAGGGCAAAATGCCATGGATCCCACCGCCACCCCCGGCTCCAGCCGCCAAGGAGGGGTCTGCCTGGTCTCCTTGATGCCTTCGTGGGTTTTTGTTTGCTGTCCTTGCTAGAACCCATCGGCTTCGTAAAAACAGAAACCAGCAAGCTTTTGGATGAGGCCTGGTGCTGGCCGGACAAGAGCCAGGAGTCGGGGCCAGGGGGCGGCGAATCTGGCATGGTCGGTGGTGCCCCAGCATGCACTTAACCCCACATAAACACCCTAAGCCCCAGACCTTACAAGAATGTCTTCTCAGGTCTCGACACAGTCCGAAAGTGTGGCGAGGCTCATCGACCACATGCTGGACCAGGCTTTCGTGACATTACATGTGCACCACCCATGCATGCAGTCACTAGCAGCGAGCACTGCCCTGCTGCTGTGTTTCGGTGGCAGGACAAGGCTGGTGGCCACGGCAAGTGAGCCGGTGGGCTGCCTGAAATTGGCGCCGGCGGGGCTTGCCTCTCAAAGGGGGTTGGGGAGCCGGTGCTGGTTCCTAAAAAACTGTAGCCTAAGGACTCTGGCAATAGTGGGGCACTGCTGCATAGGCACTGGCACAGTGCTGTATAGGCACTCGCAAAGGCTTCGGAGCACAGTCTTCCCAACCTTTCCGACCTAGGTCCTCGTGTGCTTTTGTGGTGTCCTAGCTGGCTGCACAGCCCGATGTATGGGATCTGACCACAGACCGGTTTTTATTGATTGATAAAACCCGGGACCCTGGACCTAGCCCAGATTTATCGATCGATAAAAATTGTAGCCTAACCCCAGCCCAGGATTTATAGATCAATAAAAATGGTAGGCCCAGGCCTTAGAATACACCAACAGATTTATCAATCTATAAATCTCGGTGCCCTGGACCCATCCCAAATTTATCGATCGATAAAAATGGTGATTCCCAGCTGTAGATCTATTACCTTGTGACCGAAAACCTAAACCCCAACTTCAAATCAAAAAACAACTCCTAAACCGTTGCTCCCAAACCATCAACCCCAATCCCCGAACCCCGAACCATCTGAAACCTTTACCCTGGCAGGCTTCAAAGGGTTTGTGGCAGGGTCTTGGAAACATCGGGGTTGTCCCGGTGCAGATCTGTTCCAGCCCAGCAGCAGAGGGTTTCGCCTAGTGGTCGTGACCCTGGGGTTCAGACTTTTCGTGCTTCTGGTTCGTGCACCTGGCGGCCTGGGGGGCTGGGTTTCTGGTTTCACGGGCTTCTGTGTTCAGGAAAATACGATTTGTGCTTGTACATTATATCATCTAAGATGTACGAGGGTATTGCTATATGCATGTATAGCCACACTGTGTATATTTGGGGTATATACCATATACATTGTTTTCGGAGGACGAGGGATCGTGGTTTATGTATATATAGGTCTGTATGTGTGATATGTATGTATGTATATCTAGAATATGGGCATTATATACTCCATGTAGATATGTCTGTGCAGACATATATATATATATATATATATATATATATATTTGTATGTATGTATGTATGTGTACAACCCATGTAGCTGTACACATATATGCATGTGTCTATATTAGATGTTTCTTATTCTCTTGTGATGTAGAAACTATATGTGACTTTATAGAAGGATTTTCGGACATAGGAAGACGGGCATGTGCATGAGGTACACACACAAACACCGATAGCAGCTTTATATTTCGGGTGCCTGTTGCAACTGCTGCTATACAGGATTGTGCATGCTGCTGCATATTTGGGTTTTCGGACCGCACACTATACTGTAGGAGTGGCTGGGTGTAATCCTGCACCGTTGGCAAGCCATGTACAGCACGGCTCGGGCCTCGCCTGTAGACTACGGGAGCTGGGAATATATATCTCTATATATATATATAGATATTATATATACTTCTATATACTTCTATATATATATATATATATATTCACGTATACATATATATAAGTATTTTGTTGCTCTCCTCCATAGATATCTATAGCTGTCCATATAGCCATATATATATATATATATGTATATTCTTACATCTACTTTAGTATACAGATGCGAGCTCCCATGCCAGGCGCCCTTCTCGAAGTCTCTTGCCTTGTACAGAAAGACTTAGCTGAGCAGGTGTGAGTTTGAAGGAAAATGCTGGCGACCGCAGAAGACATAGGGAGGGTCGAGTGCATGTCGCATGCAGTCTGAAGCTTTCTTTGTGTTGCTATGTTCGGTCGATTCCACAGTCTGCCTTCACTGGTGCTTGTGTATATGATGCTACACATTGTATACCTTAATTGGCACTATGTACCGACAGGGGGCATTCGTTTTGATCCAGCCGGTTGGCACTCTGGAGTGCTCGCATGTGTGCTTCTTTGAGTCTGCAGATGACATGGCATGTATATAGATCACACATTCACAATTCGTCTCGCAGGGCTGTAGAAGCTCGCAGGCAGGAACATGCATTGCATGGGTGTTTCAAAAGGGAGCACATGCATGCATGCATGGCATTGTATACATCCATGATGCATTGCCTCCTTCATGGCTGCACGTGCATGCATGGAGTGCTCGAACACTTTTGTGGTATTCCACACTCAGATTTCCGGCATGGCGACTTCGAAAGCCTTGGGCGACCAACTGCTCACCATCTCCTCACTCGCAGAGACCATGACAGACCAGACAACGAAAGACCGGATGATCGAGTCCTGTATGGAGTCTGCCAAGAAGCAGATTTCGGGTCTCCGGCTCACGGATTCAGCAGAAGTCCAGACACTGTTCGCTACGGTGCAGTCCTTGAACTTCAGCGAGAGTCAGAAGGACGAGCTGATGCGGCAGATCGGTGATCGTTTCGTGGCATGCAGCACACCCAAATCACAGGGCAGCAAGAAGTCCATGCAGACCATGGACGACCCGGGAAGTTTCCTCCGGGCCTCGGATGTGACCTTCATCTCGAACCCAGACCACACCATTAAGGCCAAGGCAAGTCGGATGGCCATGATGTTTTGCAGCATCAACTGCAGCTGCCCGACGGAGCCTACTTCGGGCCGAGCTGTGGGAGTGCTCAAGAACGACTTTGGCCTCAAGGAACTCGAGGACCCTCAAGTGTTTTACAACACAGTTCAGGATTTCAAAGCAGCCTTGAAGTCGCACTTCAAGTCCAATCCCAGTGGGTCGACGAGCCATGTGCACAACTTCACGACACCGGCAGATCTACCCTCCGATGTGTATACGAGAGCATATGGTGAGGAAGGGCCGTCCGGACATGCCGGCCTGGGTGGCTCCATCGGTCCAGTTCGAAAGTCTTCTGCGATGTTGAAGAGCCAGAACAACCAGAAGGTTCCTACTCTAGACCTTCAGGTGCCTTCGCAGAACAACATGGCGAATATGATGATGCAAGGGTTCCAGAGCATGCAGCACATGTTCAATGTCTTCGCAGGTGCACAGCAGGCTGGCATGTCCGGCCAGCAGAACATCTTCATGAACAACACCAAGACGAACCCGCCGAAGCAAACCCTCGCAATCACGAATGGACCCGATGCAGCATCGAGTCCAGCACGTGCAGAGCCGGAGCAAGCTCAGCCTATGACTCCGGAAGAGCAGGTGAACACCATGCTCTCCAGCTGGAAGAATCGTCAAGAGGAGAACAAGAAGAAAGCCGAGGATGGCAAGGCTGGTGATCCGGAGGGTGGCAGCGAGAAGGCCGAGGCGAAGGGCAAGGCAAAGCCAAAGAGCAAAGCCAAGGCAAAGGCGAAGGGCATGTGCAAGGCGAAAGCCAAAGCCAAAGCCAAGGCGACGACGAAGCCGATGGTTAAGGCTAAGGCGAAGGCGAAGACCAAGGCCAAGGCTGCCCCCAAGTCCAAGGGTGCCAAGAAGGTTCCGGATTGGGATGAACGAGTTCGAATGAGGCCATCAGGATGTGCAAAGTGCCGATGGAAGCGAGGCTGCTGCCCTAGTTGCTTTTTGAAGTAGAGACTCCTGATTCACATCGTGTCTCAGGCACTCTCACTCATGCATTATGAAGTCCGGCTGCACACGGGCTGCAGCAAGAGCATCTCAAAATGTGGCCGATGCATGTGTGCCCTGACATGTGACATGGAATGGAAGCTGGAGCTCCTGTGCAGTGTTATAGAGGATGTGTGTCGTGAAAGGGTTCATAGTGTATATCTCAGAGCCTATATACAGGTTCGGGGTTTCCGATTGGTACATATTTATATATCGAGTTTAAACTATACATATAGTGGGTCTGTATATCATATAATGTATACATATAGGAAATGTATTGTGTAGTCTGTTGGTGTTTTAAAGCTGAAGGTTCCTGGGGTTCGATCATAATATATTCGGAGTATTGTGCTGCAAACTTTACATGTGTGTGACAGTTCATCCGTGCATGGAAAATCGCCAACAAAGCTACACTAAAAGAGTCCGTGCTGCAGGGCCCTTGGCTCGTGGCCAGGACCAATTCCTGCAAAGCTTGGGCATTGCCCGAATCATGACATCCAGCTCCAGCTCCAAACCTTTGGCAAGCCTGGGGAGGAAGGTGTTTGTATCACAACGAGGTCTGGAATCCGTGCTCAGCGATTTGAAGAAGACCGGTTTCCTCGCCGACGATTTTGCTACCACCTCGCGAGCCTCGATTAAGCGAGCGAGGGATGGTGAAGAGAAGTCGTGGGAGAATGCCTTTGGGCAGATGATCATTAACATGGACATCCCACATGAGAGCGATGACACGAAATTTGTAAGGGTTCCCTTCGTGCCACCTGTTGTGCTGCTGCAGCACTGCATCGCCAACGAGCATTACCATGGACTGCTCAAAAAGTGTGGCCAGTCCAGCCCTGGAGACAAGCTGGGCATCGCTATATATGCTGATGAAGTTAGTCCCGGCAATCAGCTAAAAACCGCTGAATGCCAGGAAACTACAAGTCATCTACTGGTCCATCGTCCAGCACGGGCAAGATCTGGCCTCGGAGTGGCTTTGGTTCCCTTTGTGTATACTGAGAAGCACTCTTTGCAATCGGATCGGCGGCCTCACTGTGCTTTGGAAACATGCCATCCAGCACATGTTCATGGATCATGACATGCGGCATGGTGTGGTGCTGCAGACATCCACCACAGCATTTCCCGTCTTTGCCGACCTCTCTGTTCTTATAGCGGACGAGGCAGCCCTGAAACAAACAGCTGAAAGCAAAGGTGCCTCGGGCACAGTGTTTTGTATGAGATGTGCGAATGTCGTTGCCCACCGAAGCGGGCTACAGGACCATGGCGATGTTCTCTCGTCGACATGCACTGACTTCACGAAGTTTCGCTTGCACACGAACCGGTCGGTCGGTGAAATCATGAGGTACCTCTCTTCCCAACATGGCACGGTTTCCCAGAAGGAAAAAGCTTTGGGCTACAACTACATGCCGGGAGGCCTCTTGATGTCGAATGTAGGACACAACATTCCGGAGATGATCATGTTCGATTGGTTCCACATTTACTTGGTCCACGGTGTGGCCGGTAACGAGGTTGGGGTGTTGCTAGGCCGCCTCCGAGACAGTGGCTTTCCCGAGCAACAGATACACGACTTCGTGCAATCCTTCCATTGGCCGGTGCAATTCGCTGGTGCGGATGCCAAGTCAGTTCTCGCCAAAAAGCGAGAGGACAAGACTGCCCCGGTGAAAGCAGAAGCCTCCGAGCTCCTTAATTTCCTGCCGGTCCTGCAGTTGTTCCTTATCCTCTTCGTCTGGAGGGATGCTGACGACTCCCTGAAGAGTTGCTGTCACGGATTCTTCACCTTGTGCAAAATCCTTCGCATGCTGAGGAAAGCCACTCAGGGTGGCTTGGACCCTGCTGCCCTCAGGGGTGCCATTAAGGAGCATTGCGAACTATACCTCGCCAACTACGGGGCAGAGTACTGGGTTCCGAAGAACCATATGACCATGCACCTACCCGAATTCTTGTCTCGTCACGGGCTGCTCCTTTCGTGCTTCGTGCACGAAAGGAAACACAAACTGGTCAAGAGGTTCGCAAACAACATGAAGGACACCTCCAGATCATACGAAGCTACCGTCCTTCGCGAGACCCTTGCAGCTCAGTTCCTTGCGATGCAGGACGAACTCCCTCAAGGGGATGTGCGACTCATCGGCAAGAGACGGTGCACAAAGGCAATGGCCAGCCTGATCCGGGATGTGTTCGGCAACTCCGACGGTGTGTTTCAAGCACAGGCAGCATTGCATGGCGGAGGATTCCGGTGCTCCCATGGAGATGTCGTCAGAGCCAAGCATGCACAGGAACACGTTGTCGGCATGATTCACTTTCATGTTGAGGTTGACGGCCTGCCTCTCACATGCATGAGTCCATGGAGCCATGTGGCCGATCACATGTACCGTGTGAAGCACGAAAGTTTCTTCATCAACACGGCATGCATTTTTTCGGCTTGCATCTGGTCTCGCAAGGGCGACGATGCCATCGTGTTGTTGGAGTGAGCTGCAAAAGTGCATGATCCTGCATGCGAGCCCACGGCCCTGCATTCGAACTCGTGCTGTGCTTCATGTTTGTGTTCACATAAAGCCCTCCCTCGCAGGTGCTGTTGACGTCGGCAACCACCAGATGCTTGGGAATGCAGGGTTTGGGGGGCTGATATAATAATATTGGCTTAGGTTTACTTGTGTTTATGCTCATATGATGTCGGTTTCGGTGTCTATTATTCATAACTGGTATGTAGCTTGATTTCGATGTTTATGTAATGGTTTGCGAACATGGGCAACTTCGAAGGGCTTCCCCGCATAATATGATGGAGCCGGTGATGTGTTGTAAGATGGTATCGGCTTTAGATCTTTCAAGAAATTTTTCAGCTTGAGGCTGGTGTCGGCTTTCGGTGTTGATGCAGGTTTTTAGCTTTCAATCTTTTCATGTGCTGGTGCATCTTTGCTTTAGCCGGAGGGCCTCAATTGCATGCTGTGCGATGCTTTCACGGTGAGCTTCTTCGGTATATGTGTGTATATGTATGTATATATAGATACAAAATACCATTGCTATATTCATCGTCTTAACTGGGCTAACTGACTTAGTCAGCTTACCTAACTGCTCCATCTGGACTTACCTAAGTCCCTTATCTCTCACTTACTAAGTCCATTAATTGGACTTGGCTAACCGCTCTAAGTTTGGCACTAACTTGTATAAGTCCACTATCTATATAGTAACCCCCATGATCCTTCAAGTATCGGCGAGCTTGGCAACCGCGGGGTTGACAGGCGTACAGGACGGACGGTTGTCAGACGGGCAGTTAGCGCGGGAGCGGGCGTCAAAGAAGATCTCACCTTTGCGGACGTCTTCAAGCCGACATCTTGGAGCATGACAGAGCTGCAAAAAAAGATGCTGAATGCCACGCCGCTCTCACAGAGCTCATGAGCAATGTTGCGCCCACAACGAGAGATCCTGAAGAACCAGAAACTCAAACAAAACGCAATCACGAACACAAAAGAAGAAGAACAAAACTGAAACTCACGAGCACAAAAGAACAAGAAGCCACAAAATCGCTTTGCGGAGTTTGTGCAAGTAAAATGACAAAAGAAGAGTTTTTTAGTTCAAAGAGCAAAGAAAAACTTCAAACGAACCCTTCAAAAGGGACTTCAAAAGGTGCTTTGAAGGGAGCTTCAAAGGATGCTTCAAAGGCGTTGAAGAGTCTCTCCGCCAAAAAGCCGGATGCGGCGTCGCAGTAAACTTAACCACTTAGAATGCCGCCGAAGGGCGGCGCGGCGTCGGCCGCGCCGCTCCAGATGCCACGCCCTTTTGGCTGGCAAGCGCACCCAAAACCGCTCTGCCGGCCCATGGCGCACCTTTCTGAAGGCGTGGCGCAGGGAGCGGCGCACACCCTGACTTGGATGCCAAGCCACACATGCATTTGGCCATGGACCAAAATCATCTGCTGGTTTGCCTTGGTTGCTGGCTGTCCTGACGCACCCTTTTAAAGGTGTGGCGCCTGGAGCGGCGCACGGACTTGGAAGCCAAGCTCCAAACCCTAACTGCAAGGCCTAAACTCTCAACACCGCCTTAAAAGCCTTGCCTCTGCGGTCAAGTCTCCCAGAACGACGTCTGCTACTTTGACTTAGGACCAAAAGACCTGAACTCTCAACACCGCCTAAAGTCCCAGAACCACGTCTGCTACCTTGACTTCGGCCTAAACTCTCAACACCGCCCTGAAAGCCCTGGCTCTAAGGTCAAGTCTTCCAAAACCACGTCTGCTCCTTAGTCTTCGAACTGAAGTTCGGAGACAACCATGGTGTTCGACCGAGCCGAGCGGAACGCGCGATTTTTCAGACTATCGCAAGAAGACTTTGTACACTCTGAATGTGAACACACAGTGAGCTGGCCGCGAAGTGTGTCCTGCCTGTTCAGTTCAGCCGTGCCGCTTGCAAATTGCAAACTCTCAACCTTGACCGAAAGTTCAGGTCTTTAGGCCCAAAGTTAAAGTAGCAGACGTGGTTCTGGAAGACTTGACCGCAGAGGCAAGGCTTTTAAGGCGGTGTTGAGAGTTTAGGCCCAAAGTCAAGTAGCAGACGTGGTTTTGGAGACTAGACCTTGGAGGCAAGGCTTTTCAGGCGGTGTTGAGAGTTTACTCCTTGGAGCCAAAGCTCAACTTCGAGAAGACTCGAAGTTTTTTGGCGTGGGCGGGCCTCGTCGACTACGGCTGTAGCACTCGGTCCCTACAAACTAAACAAACCAACAAACAAACAAAGACAGCGGTGAAACAGGGCGGTTCGTTAAAGAGAGGCAAAAGGCTAGCTGGGGTGCACAGGCTTTGCCGGTGTTGGCCGTTCAGCACGAGCTACGGGGCCCCAGCGACCGATCCACAACAGCAAAAGGCCGTCGCCTAGAACTGTCCAGGCCCACCGGTGGAGCCCAAAGTCGAAGCTCCGGCCGCCGTTCTAGTTCCGTCGAACAACGGTCGGCCCCGGGGTCCTGTTGTGTCACGATCGTGCACACAAAGTCCACAAGTCCACGGTGGAATTCCCGTCCAGCGGCAATCTCTGAGGAAAGACCCTACGACCCTACGACGTATGTCGATGGTCATAACAGACTCATGCCTGCCGGTATGCGGTCCCACACGTCATTGGGTACAATCCAGTGTCGAGGGTCATGGCCAAGAATCCAGCTGGCGCTGCATGTCGTTGCCGCTGGTCGGGAAGTGGGATTCGCGCAACAGGTATAACAATTGGTAATTGCGCTGCGCATACAATTCCTGTAGGCGGTGAAAACCATATCGGAGTGTATCTTGATCCGGCTCATGGAGATGCGGCATCAGCTCAGTGAAAATGAACGGGATTTGAATGCCTGGGCCGATCCCACCCCGTGCAATGAAGGCCTCCGCTTCGTCTCTCCAGTGGTCCTGTTTAGTGGTCCTGGCCCCAAGGGTCTCCTAGCCGAAACCATGCGCGACTTCCATCGGGCAGGGTCTTCTCGTTGGACTCTTGGGCCACCAAGTGGTGAATGAGAACCTTGGCCATCGTATCCCACGCGTCGAAATGGGCGTGGCGCCACAGGCGCACCGGGAAATAAATGTCCTTTTTCTGTGGGCCTCTCAGCCAATAAACTACCACCGCCCTAAGATCCCAACCAGAGGTGGTAGCAGCCGCCCGAAGGCGCCACAGGGCAGCGTGCAGAAGGCCAGCGGACTGGATGGGAAGCGTGGGCGGCGCTTGCAGACCCAAGGGGACATCGTCCAGCGGGAGCAGGAGTCTGTTTGAGGGTCGAAATCACCACGCCTAGCTGGGAGAAGCCCACGATGGAAGCCTTCCATCAGCCGTGCGGCAATAGCGATTTGGGGCCGCCCCACAAGGGAGGCAGGCACTTCCGCCTTAACCCGTATCTCAAGGAAATGCAAGTCATTCTGCCAGACAGGAGAAATTCGCACGAGTTGTAGCAGACGGGCAGCGTCAGGTTCATCTACCAAAGCCCGTGCAAGGAAGAACAGCAACTGCACCGGCAACAGCACACCACAATGGAGCAAGGGGGTGCCCTGATTCGGATCCATGCTCGAGCCTCCCTCCGTTGCTCGCCGGACGCCTGATCCCGTGCCGCGGCGCTTGCCCGTGGGTAAGGGGGGTCTCTTGGGTGCCAAAGACATTTGGATAAGACTACCATCTCGGACTGGTGACTTATGACCTGCCTTAGCACTGGGGAGCGAAAACTTAAGACGATCGAGCTCGTCCAAGAAAAACCACCACCAGATCTCCGGGCGAGCCAACTCGTACCACGAAAGATCGAAGACACGCCCTTCAGGTAACCGCAATACAGGGTCGCAAAGCTGCGCCAGCGCAATGGAAACTGCAAGCAGGGGAGTGAGGCACACGCGGAAAGCCTCACTTTCCGTACAGTGACGAAGCATTAGCGCACGATCTGCAAAATCGACAACCCTGGCTCCGAAATTCTGAGGGCTGACCTTAACTTCGCACGCCGGCAAGGAGAGAGGCAGCGAGAGAAGGGAAAGGCAGTCCGTCCGGTTGGGGAGCAGTTGGTGCAGCGCAGCCGCGCTTGCTGGGCCTTCAATTGGCGACTGCTGCCTGCCCTTGGTCTGGTAGCTGCGGAGGATGTCGTGCTGCTCCGCGAAGTCATTCTCATCTTCAGGCGGAACGCAGTTGCTGGAAATGGCGTCGACGCCGGGTAGCAATCGGTTAGGCGGGTATTCCACGGCGTCCAGCAGTGCAGCCACCCTTTCCTTCCACGTAGCAGTGGGGGCTTTAGGAGTAGAGGCAGCGCAACTTCAGACTGCGCCTGGCGCAGCCGCGACCAGCATGTCGGCGGCTGCCGCCTGGCCTCGGCACACAGTTGCGTGCGCATCGAGCGGCATGTGCTCCGCAATCCGGGACCGGTGGTGTTGGGAAAGGAGGGCACTGTAAGCCCGCTTGGGTGGCTGCAAGCCACCCCCCTTGTGAGCACGGAGGCGGTGGAGACCGATGCAGGGTGCTTGGTGTCGAGAACAGGGAAGAAGGGGCGCACTGTAATTGGTTGCCCGGTGGGACCACTGTTCACGAAATCCATGCCGCGCAGAAGCAGCTGCACAGGGTGGTCGGGCACTCCACAGTGAGCGACCAACGCACAGGAATCGCAGAGCGGCGGTATGCAATTAACAGACCACCTCTCGTAGAACTCTGAAGCCGTGTCGCAGTCATCACGCGGCCTGCACTGTAGTCCAAGCTGTGCGAGCCCGTAGGACTGATAAAGAGCCTCCCAACTGATGATGGTCTTGTGGAGTGTGGCGTGAAGTTCCAGAGCGGCGATGATCCCCCAGCAATGTGAGGGAGACGCAATGATCAGCGGGCCTGTGGGGTAGCTTCATTGTCATGGCCCTAGGCGGCCCTGGTAGACGCATCTCCCCACTACGCATCCATCATGCGTGCGTGAATGGGTTTTATTTTCCGCCGAAAGTGTAGACAAAGTTTGTCGAAAAAGGAAAACAGTGTTTTCACTTGTGTGTGAGTGACAC